AATCTGCACCTATGTCGTTATGCTTAAAGAACATTACAGAGATAATGTCTATACTTTGATTGTTATATGTAGTAGACTTGCTATCAAAATTTGTAAAATATATGAATTGGTCATACTTTATTATAGTATGGTTAAATTTTAATCAGGAAACTCGGTTGAGTTTCGTACCAAATATATACACACTTGCATATATAATAATAATTCGCAATTACATACACATTTCTTGAGCTGTTATTACTAGTCAACTCCAAATTAAAAACTTTTGGAAATTTTTGGAACTGACAATGTTTCAAATTGTTTGAAATTAAAGTATAATTTCTAATACAACTAATGTTTTAAAAACTAAAGGAACATTTTGGATTGACATTATTTTTTCTTACAGGTCTGCATATGACAATGTGACGAAAACGAAAGTAGCTATTAAAAAAATTTCTCCCTTTGAACATCAAACTTATAGCCAAAGGACATTAAGGGAAATAAAGATTCTTACGAGGTTCAAACATGAAAATGTAAGGGACTTTGTATATAAGTTCATAGACCAGAGGTCAGTAATATTTGATAATAAATCAAAATACTCTGCTATTTTAGATAATAGATATAAGGGACATACTAAGAGCACCAACCATAGATCAAATGAAGGATGTCTACATAGTTCAATGCTTAATGGAAACAGATCTTTATAAATTACTCAGATCCCAGGTAATTAATCGATGCTAGTACTTCTATTTTAGGCAAGATGTTAGATGAATGTTCTGTAATGAAAGTATTGAAAACTAGATTTTGTTTTCTTACATTTTACAACGAATCATAAAATGCTATCGAAGTTTAGGTGCTTCGTGTAACTATTAATAAAGGTTTAATGAGTTAATATTTACAGGCGATCAGTAATGATCACGTATGTTATTTCCTTTATCAAATTCTCCGAGGGTTGAAGTACATCCATTCGGCGAACGTGCTGCATAGAGACCTGAAACCAAGCAATTTGCTTTTAAACACCACGTGTGACCTTAAGATTTGCGATTTTGGTTTAGCCAGAGTTGCAGATCCGGAACACAATCATGCTGGTTTCCTCACAGAGTACGTCGCCACGCGATGGTACAGAGCGCCAGAAATTATGCTCAATTCTAAGGTAATATAATTGTCTATCTTAAATTGATATTGTATCTTTATTTTTACATTTCTCTTTACATTCTATTTATTTTTCTTTAACTATAAGATAATGTGTAGATTTAATAGTATCTTTTTTGTACGCAGGGTTACACGAAGTCAATTGACATTTGGTCGGTGGGTTGTATTTTGGCGGAGATGCTGTCGCGGAGAGCAATCTTTCCAGGCAAACATTATTTAGATCAACTTAATCATATTCTTGGTATTCTTGGATCACCCTCACCAGAGGATTTCCAATGTATAATTAATGAAAAGGTATGTCCCTTGAATTATTACATCTTCACTGCCTTTTGTATACAGGGCAAGGAAGGGTATGATGATGAAATTAAAAATTCAGACCTTAGCTTTAATTTAGATTACGTTTTCATCGTTATTTAACTCATCGTTATTTAACAGATTTAAATCGAAGGTGCTACTAATTTGTTTATTCTTGATGTAAAGTATATTATTGAACAATTATAAGTTCATTGCTCGTATATAATTGAAGGTCTGAAGATTGTGCTACAAACTTATTGTCCCATACATATTTAATATTATAAGGGAAAAGGTATTTTGAGCCTTTGAAAAATAGAAAGGGTTTAAATTTTAAATAGAGCTTCGGGGGAAATAATTAATTACCTTTGTTAATAGATATTCCATTAGATACTAACCAATTGTCTTGATCAATAAATATTCTGCTAGACATGTATATAACGAAATTAATTTCGTAAATATCAGTTGAGTCATTTCAGTCCAAGCAGCTTTCCTGTACTCATGTTTATACTATTATACGGTCAAAAAGTAAACCATTATGTTTGTTATGCATTGTATATTTCATATTAAATTCGTTAACTTCTTGCATCGATATTTGATTATTGCCTACAAAGGCCACATGTACTGATTCCAGTTCACTTTTAAGGAAAACAAAGGATACATTGCATTTCATTTTGTCCAATTTCAATAAGTATTAGTTCATTAAAACTACCGATTTATCAATAATTAAAGACGATATTAAGTTGTAACATATAGAACATTGTTGATTGATAATCAAACGGCAAAAAATTCAGGGGACATGACTCCAAAATGAGGGGTTAAAATATGCACTAATCTGTTGTTTATTATTGTTTAAGATTCACATAAAAAATAATTACCTACTATTGAAGATTTCTATGCTATACCGCTTATTGTTTTCCGCAATTGTTCATTAGCATTTTGTGCATTATTTTTAAAAGTCTATTTTTTGTACAGGCTCGAAGTTACCTGCAGTCATTGCCCTACAAACCGAAGGTCCCCTGGACAAGTCTATTTCCTGACACGGATCCAAAAGCGTTAGACCTCCTGGATAAAATGCTAACGTTCAATCCGCATAAGCGTATTGTCGTGGAAGATGCTCTAGCGCATCCTTATTTAGCAGAATATTACGATCCGGCCGATGAAGTAAATGTCAACTACTTTAACTAAATAAGCTTAGTTGTTGAAAAAGAACACATTCTTTAAAGTTTAAATATTAAAACCTTAGTGACAATTTCTTTAATTTATCCGATTTTTACAGCCCGTTGCGGAAGAACCTTTTAAGTTTGACATGGAGCTGGATGATCTTCCAAAGGAGACCTTGAAACAGTATATCTTTGACGAGACTATACTTTTTCAGAAGAATCATGAAGAGAATGCTATGTAGTCTACTGGTACTTACATGCAATACTTTAACGGTGGTATGGAAGAATCAATTGATCCACGTGAGTCGATGTTACAGTTTCTTTATGTGCTTAGTAACTTTAAGACTTAATGATTCGGTACCTAGTAACATAGGTTGCAGAGTATAAGAACAATTTATCTTGTAATGTCAATGAATTTTACCATAGCAACTGATTACCAACAGTTAGTCTAATGATTTTCGCAGACGCCATTCATTGGACGATATTTTAATGCTTAAGCGACAAGAAATGGGTTTCACGCTAACTTCGAAATTCAAGGATCATAAACAGAGATTATTTCCTTATTTCAGCAAGAATTGTCTGGCTACATGGACATCAAAGCAGGAGAAGAAGCGAAGGGATTATCGGTCGGCACGGACAGACTTCCCAAAGGTACCTGGTACGAATAAAAGAAAGAAGACGCATATTGGTCGCGTAGAAGGTTAGTTGGGCAGTTGGCTGCGATCAACGTCAAGTGGATCGTGGCCCAACTAGGTGACACCCGACTTGACTGGCGCGACTCACGCACTTGTACATTCGCATGACTACAACCGAAATACAATGATTCTCTTCTCGTCACGTAAGCGCATAATAACTGAATTTGTACGATATGATTTCTATTTATCCCGGAACTAGTTGGGTCTACACTAAGTTATGTCGATTTATCATTATCATAATCGCCGTCGTAATACCGTCTGTGATTTATTTCCCGAGTTAACGGCACGATCGCAAGTCTCGCGATCCGTGTCAGTCGAGGGATTTCTGGACAGTGGTCGGAGAACTGGCCCTGGAATCGTCGAGTGCGTCATTAAGCTCTAACCGATCAACGACGTACTTGAGGCTTGAGTTTCACCGATCGGTCGGCCCTCGAGCACTCGGTTCTTTCAAGTCAACCCCATTTTCAAAGCCGAAGCCGTTGAAACTAAAGGTGTCTTTTAACGACAGCAAGATATTGTTACTACAAATCTGTCAAAGCGTAACTGCTAAAAGTATAGAAAGCCCCGAAGGATCTACCTACTGTGCCGTTTTCAACTTATTGTCGGACCTCTCTGTGTACAGTGAGGCAAAGCGTACTATCTCCTTGTACGGAACTTGAAAATGAGGTGTTAACGGAGCGAAAACCTCGATTTTAATCTCGCTCACGGAAATTGGGACTTACAAAATGATATCTCAATTACCTGCACGATAGAGAAGTAACAGGTGAACAATACCGTTGAAAGACGACAGAATTCCGAAATTCTATTTTGCATTCCTGTACTCTGCCACTACTGAAACTTATCACCAATATATCGCTGATTCTTCCTGCAAAATGTACAAATGAATGTATGTGATTGTACGTGGCTCTTCTTTGAAAATCGTTGTAAAATTGTCATCTTTCGTATCTACTTGAGATTTATCTACTGTCCAATGAATTCCGACGTCCGTAACTTCGTTACAGTGTAACTCATCGATTGGAAACAAAGTAATATTGAAAAACGACACGAGTCTGAATAGTAAATAAATAGAGGGGTCCAAACGTATTACTTATCGTGTACCATGATCGCCCGTAGTTTTGGGGTAATACCAACGTAGAAGGAACATGAATTAGGGCTGTAGGAGTATGGTTCCCAAGTGTACCAAAGATTTTCTGTAGTTCCCCTTACTGAGCATTCTAGTCTCCGATAAAGTTTTTAAATTCACCAGCGGCCGTTGAAACGTAGCACACGTAGAGCAGTTTTGAATTCAAACGAGAACGGAAAGCAAAGTTATACTACTTGGAGATTGAAGAAGTTCTTTAAACGCCTGTTGCACCTGACGTCAATTTATAACTCCATCCCGGTACTTACACTACGTACTTTGCGGTGTGACGGATAATTATGAGCCAAACTAGGTTGAAGTCCAATGAGTGCCGCACAATGTTGTAGTAACAATACCAATGCCGTTGTTTGCAGATTCCTTTGTGTGTAAATATGTGCTTCAGAGAGCCGTGGAGTTTCTAGTTAGTGTCCAGTTCTCAGGTTAGCTAGAAATGTTTTTTCATTATAGAAGCAATATCAAGTTACACAAAAGCGACAATACTCCTTGTTAGAGACCTAGTATGAGACTCTAAAACATCACAGTTATAAAAAGACATAATTAAAGATAACTTTGTCCATTTCTTTTAAAAATTTATCTATACAATTTATTGGATGGATCGATTGGAAGAATTATTAATTCTTTGCGGTCGAACCCCGGCATATTCCCGACAAGGTCACTATGCCTACAGGAAATACGACTGCAAATAATTAACAATAAGTAACACCGGACTTTAACCCTAGGTCATATATGAACAACTCATATGAGGTCGAAACGCAAATTTTAGATAATGACTAATCCACTTCAAACCTGATATTTATTAGCTGGGTTCCATAAGCTAGCTATAGGTGATATCGCTACCCAACTGTATTACAATAATGTGTTTTAACACGACAACAATCATAAGTGCAACATTTTTCGCTTTAAGGGGATATGAAAGAGGCATCTCAAGAGCCAATCGTTCATGAAACTTATTTCCGAACTGGGTGTGCCTAATCGTTTCAAACTTTCCAACGTTAACGTGGAGGCTATAAGGAAGGTCCTGGCACCCATGAAATTTCATTTTTTTTTACAATTTTGAAAATATCTAAAGAAATTTTTGAAAAATTGAAAATTCATGAGTTTCAGGACCTTTCTTGTACCCTCCGTATTTATATTGTAAAGTTTGAATCGATTCGGTACATCCAGTTTAGAGAAAAGTTTCATAAGTGAGACCTCTTTGACGCAACTTTTACATCACTTTTAACCCTTTCGCGCCCAGCGCCGGTTATATCCGGCATTCACTAAATGCTTCACCCTGGCCAGCGCCGGATATATCCGGCATCCGCTAAACGCGCCATTTAAAAAATTTATCACATGCAAATATAACTAAATTATATCTAGCAATTTTGCGCGAGACCCTCCTAATGTATACGGTGTACCCCGATGGCTAGTTCCGCGGTCGCGAAAGGGTTAAGAACAGATTAGGAGAGTGTCGCTTCTGTAAGTATGCCTTGATATTAAATAATCGCCTCGCAGAATTTGAGAATTGGACTTCTTTTAACTCTTAATAATCAATCCTCGTCAATATAGTGACATTCGAGAGCTCCGTCGAAGGTAGCAAGGTAGACATCGTCGTCGCAAGTATGTATGGTGTAAGACACGTGGGATGACCTGAAATGAAGAATTTTAATGTACAACCTGTTATTGTACAAAGATCGGCAGCGAGTTTGCGATTACCTTACTGTCTGACGATGTCCCACCGTAGCTTACGCCATTAATACTTGCCACTAATTGTACCGATACTGCCGTCTCTATGAGTTCGATGTACGACGACGACCTCTAGTTTTTAGCCCATTGGCTCATGCGAGTGAGTCTTAAGACTCGGAGAGTCGTCTCGCTTGAGACTCCTTCCAATGTTCTCTCCAAGTTTTTCTCTCATTATCGGCGAGAAGCCACCTGGAGAACTCCCTAGGGAGTGAGAGTTTGTTAAATTTACCGAAGCTGCGATCACGTTGTAAACAGCATACGGTAGAATCGCATCGAGCGACTAAAAAGTCAGTAACGATCGTCCTGTATAAGCTCACTGCGGAGAGACGTCGCTTTATAGATAGAATAGATAGATTTTACTAATGAAACGCATACCTTTTTATGGAATCATATTGGCTTCCAGGTGATTTTAATATTACGAAGTCACGGGGTATATGAGTGTTACTCGGTTACGTAGATAGGAGAGATACTGAACAATTGTAATGACTGTTAGGAACGTAAATATAACTTGTGTTGAATTATTCATTTATGAAAAGTGGAGCTTTGTTGTAGCTTCTTACGCATTCGATTTTTCAACCTTGAATCGTAATGCTGTTTTCAATTTACAAGGCGATGGATCACTTTGGTAAATTTAAACTACTCTCTCTCCCTGCGTAATTGAACGGCACGTGCTGCTAATTCTTGAAAAACGATACGCGGATCTGCAGGATCGCGATTATGTGGACTGGTACTTTATCTTTTATTAGAGGCTCGTTAAAGAGACGCGAATCTGCCGATAACATTTAAGAGGGTATGAAAGGCGCTAAGAAATTTAATCGACGTCGATTAAGTAAAATTCATCTGTACCCTTTTTGGGGGTAATGTCGTTTTGAATACTCAAGTGGGAACATAAGCTGGCGCGTCCCATTGCCGACATTTATATTTATATAAAGGTTGGTTCGCCATGTTGGTTCCAGTCCATAATAAGTAAATAAATTTTTGATGAAAAATGAAATTTCCCGAGTCTCAGGACCTACTTTAGGGCTTCCACATTCCCGTGGTACGATTTGAAACGAATCGGTACACCCAATTCGGGGAATACTTTCCCCAACGATTTGACTTCTCCGATATATATAGGCTGACTCTTTCATATCCTCTTAAGGTGATGTGAAAGTGCCGCGAAGATGTCTCGTTTATGAAACTTTTTTCCGAACTAATGTACCGAATCGTTTGAAACTTGACATTGTGAACGTGGAAGCTATAAAGAAGGTCCTGACGCCTATAAAATTTGAATTTTTTTAAATTTTCTCATAGATGCTTTCAAAATTTATTTATGTTCATGAAACTTTTCTCCGAACTAATGTACCGAATCGTTTGAAACTTGACATCGTGAACATGGAAGTTATAAAGAAGGTCCTGACGCCCATAAAATTTCAATTTTTTAAAAATTTTCTTATAGATGCTTTTAAAATTTCGGATAAAAAGTGAAAATTTATGAGTTGCAGGACCTACTTTAGGGCCTTCACATTCATTTCTTTTTTTTAAATCAAATTTCAAACAATTCGGTACACCCATTGCGGAGAAAAGACTAACGAACGATTGACTTATCGAAAGCCACTTTCACATCCCCTTAACATATCTCGGCTGTTCTTCTCTAATCTCGTTCGCCTCATATCGAAGGTAGAAGTCACGGCCGGTAGGGTCGCTCGCCGTGAACGGTTATCCCGGTCCTCGAGGTCTCTTTGTGAGATGCCGGAGAGAGGGAGGACGGAGTCGAGGAGTCAGCTACGGAGTCCGAAATGAAAGGGATGCTCGGCTCGGAGAGGCGTTTCGTGTCCGGTGTCCATCCACGCTTACGTTTTACGATCGGCGGGAAAAAGGTCCGGGATTTTCGCTCGGTCGATCCCGACCGAGCAGCCGCTTCTAAGGAGATTACACCTTCGCCGCGGAGGAGCGAGTTAATAAAGATATCGACAGGTGGGCGCTGCCGGTTTTTCTCTACGGCCGCGTCGAATCGGGAGATCCCCCGGGGCCGGTAAGGCAGGTCGCGCTCGCGCCGACTCGGAGGACCCTCGAGGGGGATAAAATCGTCCCGAGGGTTCGGCAGCGACCGCGGCCGATCTCTCGATTCCTAGGACCGATAACCAGCCAATGGGCCCCGTCGTACAAATCAAACGCGCTCGTTTAACCACCGTATACAGGCCTCGGTACCGCGGTTCCAGTTTACGGTTATTTATCGGGCGCGTTAACGCGCGTCAAAGGGCCGACGACCCTGCGAGGTCGAGGTCGGGACCCGGGATCCGGGGGTTTGGTTTATCGCGCCCCTTCTGCCTATATTACAATGCGGCTGTCAGAGTATCCGCGTATCCACTAGAGAGGTTAGGTTTCCGGTGTTACGCGACGCCGCGGGCAGGTAGCGCTCGGTTGGGTAACCGGAGATGACTCCTTCGGGGAAATACTTGGACAGTATTCCGAGGGAGTGTCGTTACCACGCGATTGCCGATTCCACGGGGTCGGATAATTCCAAGAATTTTCCCGTTCATGGATTATTCGTCCAAGATTCGTTCAGCCCGGAAGCCTGGCATATGTCCGAATTGGAAGAAACTACTTAAACCCGTTGCTATCGGCCGATTCGGTCGCTCGATGCCTGGAGCCGATAAGAAGCCAATGGGCGCCATCGCACAAATCAAACCCGCTCGTTTAACCATCTTATACATGAACGTACATCGCGGTTCCAGTTTACGGCAATTTATCGAGCCTGTAAACCCGCGCCGTAGGGCCGATGACCTCGCGGGTCATAAACGAGCGCTCGAGGTGCCGCCATATTGGAACCACCCAACCGCCCGACGCTTAAATACATTCAATAAACGAAAGGTACGAGACGAAGGGAACTCTCGGGGACCCTTTGACCCTTCGCAGATGAGGCG